GGAATTTTTCTTTTACTTTTCAAAGAGAAGAGCGAACTGGGGGTATGGGTGGGTGGGGAGAAAAGTGCAACAATGAATGAATGGAAATCCAAAATCTCTGTAAATGTTCATTGAAACAGCTGAGAAGAGAGAAAGAGCAAACACAGGGAGAGACACAGGCTATACTAGTCTATACTAAGTTGTTCTTGTGTACCATTGAGTTGGAAGCTATTCATAGCTGACCCTCCAGTGGGTTTTCATAGACAGTTAATCGCATTGGAGGAGATTGTCCATCCTTCTCCTGTGGAGCAGCTGGTGATCTTAAAGAGTGTGCCTTAGGTATTCCAGTGCAGCTCCTTGCCACTAGGACAACAGAGCTTCCTAGTCTATACTACTCTACTAAAGAACACTACTACTTCTTGTAGACTATATTCTTGCAAAAGCACACTGAAGACAGTATTTGCGGTTTCAGTTATTTTAGAATAGGAGTAAGGATTTATGGCAAAACTGTGGCTAACCTAGAACTAACATTCTCTGTGGTTATTCGCCCCCGCCCCCGCAGTGTATATCCTGACAATTTCGTTGACTCTTAATATTAGATTAGAAAAATAATTCAATACTTTTACAAATATTGACAATGTACATAATTATTTAGTTTAATACATGTCATCTTTTTATTAAAAGCTGATAAAAACTTTTCTTAAAAAGCCTACCCATTTCCAAAGTTATTCCCAAACTAGTCAATTCACTTAAAACCCAAAGTTATTACTCAGAGAGTTGGGTTTTTTTATGACTGCTGATGATCCAGAATAATACGTGTGTTCCATTTTTATATCACAATAAAACAACCGATTCTTTAGAGATATCTGAAAACCTCGAAATAACAAGAACTGTATCTTAGGTGAGATCATTCTATAATGAAGTCTTTCAATGCTTTAGTAATTAAATACGCTTTATCCTAGAACATACTGTGTTTTATAGTTACTCTTAAGCATACTTTTATTCTTGACACAAAACCGTAGTAGGAAATGGAAAGTTACTTTCCAATGGTATTATATACAAGGTGAAAATTAGTTTAAAAACAGTGCTGAAAATTCCAATTTAAGTCAAACTGGTCACACTGTAATTTCTTTAATAAGATCAGAATGAAGAATAAGCTACTGTAGTAAACTTGTAAAAGAGCTACTCAATACATCGCAGATAATATTTATGTAATAAGAATCACACTCTAGTGTTCAGGGTATAGGCATGAGAATCAATCTCTATGAACAACTAAAGTTCTCAAAATATCATTAATTTTATACTTTTGTTTTAAAAATTTTATCTAAAATCAGAATACTTCTATAGTATATTAATTTCTTAATCAACCAGTTAAAAGCATTTAAACATAATTAAGAAATACACATAAAATTTAGCATCTTACTATGACCAATATTCTAATGATAAAATAGGGAGCTCTGATGGTCCAGTGTAGGAAGCTATGTTGCAATCTCAAAGGCATGAGGTTTAAATCTACCAGCTGCTCCTGAAGAGAAGAAAAGGCAATATCCTCTCAAGCAATTAACTTCCTCTGAAAACCTGCTGGAGGGTAAAACTATGGGCTGGTTCCAACTTGTGGGTACACAACAACAACAACAATGCATGAAACTTTTTAAAGTTTAAGTTCTTACTGGCTTTTATCTATAAGAGTTAATTTATAATTATTTCACTACTCATATGAGGACAGGTTTACTAAATCTTATTATAATTCTAATTATTAGCTTAACTGTCCGTTAAGTGTGTCCTATTTATTGTTTTAAAAATAGTAACAATTCTCCAGACTATTTATTAAAATGTTAATAAAAATGTAAAGGAGCAGAAATGCTTCTTAAGTACAACATTTTAAATTGTTGGGTAACTGAAGTTAACTTTACAGATACCTGAAAAGTGACATGTCAGAAGTGTGTTTTCTTAAATTAAAATTAGTTCATTTGAAATTTCAAATGTTTAATTCAACTGATCTTCTCCAAATCTAGAAATATACCACAATAATTTTTATAAACTTTTTAATAATTAAAATTTTTATACATAGCCTTAAAATTTCCTTTATCTCAGTACACTCAAACAAGATATATTTTAAAGTATCCATTTAACATAACTTTGAAAAAAATAAACTTATAATATATGCACAGACAAAACTACATTTTTCTGAATCTACTGCCTTTATAAGTTTTTCCACTTATTTATAGTGTTAAATTAACACACAAAAATATTTGTAATTATTTTTCTTTTACTGATCCAAATCTATAGTGAAATGATGAAATTGAAAAACAAGTGCTTTTGTCAGAAGACAGGAAGAAAGTTTTTTCCCCCCTCTCCCAAAAGGAAAACAAAGGATTCCTGAAAGCTTTGCCCTGATTTATTTTTCCAATTTTAAATACCTTAAGAGTAGCGGAACTGCTACTGGCATGGTAGTATTTCTAACAGTCAATAAATCTAAAATATTATGTGTGAATATTGGAATGAAGCCATTAAGAAGATTACAGCATGCAACACAGCAGAGGGTCCACAGGAAAAAAGAGCTAGTAATTCAGGACAACTGTGACCACTGACCTTTGAACAGCCAAGACCACTGGTCAGTCTGACACAATAATAGAGTGCACATGCATGCAAAGTCATCTAGCCTGTAAGTATAATTTAAATGCTTTGGTGAATGATTTTAAATGGTCTCCATTTAAATCTCAGTTAATCTATTAAACAATTGGACAATACTAATAGTAGCATTTTCAAGCTTCAGTCATACTTTATTAATGCAAATCACAAAAAAGGATCTTTAGTAAGATCATTTGTGATTTTAATATGTCTCATTTCAAGCATTTATCATTCTGGAAAACATGATGGGATGTTCTATCATGTTTTACCCATCACTATGAGCTCTCCTTTGAAATGTCTTAAGCAAGTGACTAAAATATTTTTAGAAAATGACTCTAACTAAAGCACCTCATATTTTCAATAAATGGTCCTAGCTTTATTTGAGAGCTACCTTGATTTGTTCATTCCTTAGATATTTCAGTAAGTTTGTGTCTCTTCATGTCATGCACAGCTATTGTTATAGATAAACAACGCTACAATGTTTATTCAATCAATACTTTTAAATGTTTCAGTAATGTTCAATTATATTGTTTCTTATAAGTACAGCAAAGTATGGTTCCTTGTGTCATTTTATAAACTTACAACTTTGAAAATTCTTCCTTCTCCAGATAGTTAAATAAATGTTTTACTTATCAAAGTAATTTTACAAAGTAATTAGTACTTATCAACTAATAAAGTTATTTATATTAAAAAATAAAATTTAAAGGATTATTTTTATCAAAGAACCATTTATCATTAAGCTGACTATAAAATTTCCAATATCATAAACCTAAAAGCTGAATTTCTGTCTCTTCTTTTTCCTCTTTTCTAAGTAAACAAATATTTTTCCTTAGAGCATTAACAGTAGAAAGTACATGCACATATGAAATACATTCTTAAAAGTTGGATCTCTATTTTCACTAATTATTTCTATATCCAGTGAGAAACACTTTGATGGATTTCTAAATGAATAACTCTAATCATTTCTAACAGCTTCTGCAAAATTTTTATAATGAGGCAGTCTAGTTATAATGAGCTAAAAAGATAATATAATTGTTCATTGGGCTGAGTTTGGATTTGTTCACACATAGAATAAATTTTACTCCAGCAAAATAGTTTAATTTTGATTTATTATAAGGCCAACAAGTAGTTTAGGCTATTTATGGGCATAAAGAATCTGATATTTTTATATTAAAATAGTCCTATCATTAACCTATAAAAATAATCAAGCTTGGGATTACTGAAATTTTTAAGTTAGAGATGTTTAAGTTTACTTCTTCAAAAAAATTAATAACGGATTTCAAAATTCTTAACATATTAAATAAAACATATTCTAAGGGGCATTTTCCAAATTTTATTATCATTGAAGAGTAGGTGTAATTTTTTTCCAGAACTTTAGAATATTTTAACTTATCACTGTAATATAAAGACATTTTAAATAGCCACTGAAATATACATAGAAACAGTTCTAACCTGAATTTCTTCCCCATACCAAAAAATGTCAATGCAAAAAAAGCATTTTTGAAGAGTATTTAACATGATATACAAAATATGTTCCATTATAAGCTGCATGTGCATGCACGCGCGTACACACAAACACACACACACACACACCACCCAAGATCAAAGACCAGAAGAGAACTGGCACTTAATTTATCAGCCTTTACAGACAAAAGACAGTTTTCGTCATTTCAAAAGGATCAGATGTCTTTTATGACAAACTGGGTTTGCAGTTTAATTTACAAATAGAATTCTAAGTAAGCAGTCTTTGCTCTGCCAAAGCAAATGACAAACAGTGTAGGTTTTCATTCTTGTGGCCCTCAGCAGGATAGAAAAGATTAAAATAAAACTGAAATAATTTAGAGAAAACAAATAAATGTTTCAGAAAGTTGAGGGAGATCAAAGCCGGAATTTTCTGACCCCAACTGTACAAGCATTTCTTATTATATTGACCAGTGCCATCAGATCATTAATTAAAAGGAAAAGCGCTGGCAGGTGGCAGAGAAGCAAAAGCCGATAATTGGCCCCCTTCTTCTTCTTGCCTTCAAAAACTCTCTCATTCTTTTGCAAGACATGCCACTAGGCAGACAGAAATGCCTACTTTGTAATATAATGATTACGATGAGATGAAGAGACTTAAATATAAAGAAGCTCTGCTTAATGAATGCATCTAGCTTTTTAATTATGGCCCTACTTTTACAATATGGAATATGATGTTCCATTCAACATTTCCTCAAATGCCAATAGGTAAAAATATTATATCTAGAATCTATATTGATTCCTCCCACACTCCTTGCACACAGCCAATTCTTTTCTTTTAGACAGGAAAATATATAAAAATATCTTAGTCATTCAAGAGTCCAGGAGAAAACATATACATTATTCACTCCAAAAATATCCTTGAGACTTACCACATCACTTGGTAGGCTGTTCAAGTCATTAAATGGTGATTCTAAAGTATTCGTGTCAACATTTAACATAACCACATCTTCCAGTGATTTATTCTTCACTCTCTGTTTAAAAAGCACAGTTGTGAATAAGCATCTTAGTGAAAAAAAAATAATCATAAGGCATAGACACATACAAGAAAAAGAGTAACTCTACATTATAAAATAAACATAAACAAAGATACCTTCCATGAGAGAGAAAAGGTCACTTCAATAAAAAAATTAATTTCAAAAAAAGATACTTAAAACAGAAACGTTTGCTCCTTTAAACATATTTCATTTGGATATCTATACAGTAGATACAACTAAAATGATAAAAACTAATAAGATTTATCAGTTGAATTTCAATCTCAAGATATAACAATTTTTCTCCATCTCTACATCGATTTTTATCATAAACCGTATCACTAATCTGAGACTATTAAGTTTATGACAGCCGTACTGCATCACTAAGTTTTAAATTAATACTTTCTCTATATTTTCTATACCAATAGGTATAAGGTGATGATGAAGAATAAAAATATAAAAATTCAAAATGAACAAGGAATAACATGGAATTTCTTGTTAGTGAAGCAAATAACATGAATTTCAATATGAAAGATCAAATGTATAGCCATGACCATTTTGACATGTTTGACAATTTGGTCAAATTACTTGCATATGTAGACAAATTAAATGGGAACAAAATTTCAACTTTTTTTTTTACTCTTAATATAACAAAAATATTTTATATGTCTTTTTTCTAATTTAAACCACCACATAAATTTAAACAAGTCATAAAATGCTAGTATCTTTACTTAAATGACAGCAAATAATATTATCCCTTAGTGCAAACAATTAATGTACTCATTAATGAAACAGATCCAGCACTCACTATTCTATAATTATACAGGTCAACTAGCAATAGGTCTATTAATTAATTTCAGATTTTTATTTTAATGTGACATTCTCAAGTAATAGACATATTTTTAAAATAACTAGTTAAGTATCTTATATTTTTAATTGGTTAAATAAAGTATTTTAAGGTGGTCAAGACTGAAATTTCTCTTATCCATTTAGAAATGAAAATCTCTGCATAATGAATAGTAATTTTAATAGGGAAATGATAGTCTCGTGAAGGGAATTTTTATATATTAGGAAAGTCACACAGAGTAGGTGGAGTGTGAATCCTCATGATTCTCAACTATATGTTCTAAAAGACATTACAGTTATTCCAAAGTAAGACTTGAAAGATTCTCCATTTTTTATGTTAATAGTCACTTATCATAGTGATTTTTAAAAAAAACAATTACAAGTATATACTTTTACTTTTTTTTCTGTGTGATACTCGTGTGGCAAACATAGATGTGAAAATTTTAAATACATAAATATGGGATTATCTTTAAATGAGTTACAAAACAATTATTAAAATAATTCCTTCTTTAAAAAAGGAGGAAAAATTTATTCTATAAATAAAAATGTAGTTCTACCAATGGTATCTGAATGGAGAATTATATAAAATCTTGATAGTCATCTTTAATTTTAAATTGCCCAGTTGACAAAAATTGCTAGAATAATATTGATGATTTTTAATATTTTTTATACTTAAAAACCTAATAAATTTTTTAAGGGAGAAAAGAAGTCAGCCTAAACCTAGAAATAACAGCTATATGCTTCAAAATTATTTTTCAGTGACAATAACACAAAACTCCAAATAAAACAGTTATTTATGAAATATGCAGTTGCTTCATTGTTGCTCTTAGTTTTTAGAAGTCAAATAATAGTTAAGTATTAAATTTAATTAAATTCGTCAAACAATAATATGAGGAAAAATACTAATTTCCATAAATCAAGACTTGTTTAAAGTGAAACAAAGTTTACATAAGCAAAAACTAATAGCATATAATTTCAATCATTATAGATAAAAATTTACATTAGTGCATTTTACTTATTTTTCCCTCAATGACAGACTTTTGTATTTTTCTGTCATAAATATGAGTGGAAATGCATATGCAAGTGCATATAGAATGGTACTTCCTTGTTTCATATTTTCATACAATAAATTAATATTCTTGTTTGAGTGAAGAGTGAGAAAATATTTTTAAAAATAGTCTTTTTTCCTTTGAAAAATATTTTTTACTAAATAACAGATTGATAGACTTACACAAATAATTTTAAAACTCCATTTCCTTTGAATGAATCCCAATGAAGAGATACCCATATGTGTCAGAGTAGAACTGTGCTTTATAGACGTTTCCAAAGCTGTGTTTTAAAAGATCACCATTCACCCCACCCTGGCCCAGGTTTTTGGTTTTGAAGCCCTTCTGGATGGACTTGAACTTCGAACCTGTAGGTTAGCAGCTCAGTAGATCAACCATCTGAAATATCCATGAACTCTTTATGAGCAACAGTAAAGCACTTTTATAGATTTTTTTTTCATTCAGTCTACAGAAATTTTTCACACAATGCAGCTACAAATATGTACTGCACACAAAGGAAATTTCATATCAGAATATCTTCTGAAATTTGGACACTTCCTTTAGAATCTTTTGTATATTGAAATAAGTAAGGTTATTCTCATGGTTGTAGTAAACTAGTCATTTTTGTACCATCTATGAAATTCTTTCTAGTCAGAAATAACTGAAGCTCACACTAAAGTTTCTTTTTTTCAGGGAAAACAAAATGTCTTCATTTTTTACTTTATAAGTATAGTTATATATTTTAAATTTAGTTTAGCCATCTTTTATTCACTTTTATAAGAATGAAAAATCCTTCAAGGGATATAAATTTCATTCATGTATCTTTTAAAAATTATGTTTTGAATTATTCATAAAGTTGATAAAATGTGTTGAGATTGGGGGAAAAAAGAGATTAAGAACACAGTCTGATGTTTCTTTTTTAAAGCATTGGTTGCAATTACCAATTGGTTGCAATTACAGCCATACCAAACGCACAAATTTCACTCAAGTTCAGTCTCACTATTATGTGAATACTTTTATTTTAGTTATAGACATATTCTTATTAAATACAAAGTGCAAAAGACAGACATGCCAGTGGGGGGAGGGGAAATGCCTACTAATGGGCACAATATGAATGATACTGCATGATGCATATCACCTTTAAATGGATTACAGAGAGTGTTAATAAACTGGTTTAAAAGAATTCCTAAAGTTCCTAGTACACTTTTTAATTCACAATTAAAGTAAATTAATGGTACAATTAAAATATTCTGAAAGCTTTAAGATATAAGTATAGAAGTAGCTAAAAATCTAATCATGATTATAAACATTTTCACTTAATGATAGGAGCCAATTTAAAGTTAAATTGAACTTTCTCCAAGATGACACTTTAGCTTGACCTTTATTAAAAATAATGAAAAGGATTAGCTTTATATATAGGGTAATAAAGTTATAAATACTTATGTTAATAAGGTTAAAAACAAACTATAAAACAAATTCATTTGTTAAAAAACAAATTATACCTATAAACTCATTATAGTATACCATTTTTATGATAAAGAACAAAAGATTCTGCTCAAGTATTTGAAGCAATTAAACCTGTTCAAACTTTTTTAAAAAATTGCCCAAAGCAAACGATATGTAACATGCAGAAATTAATAATTAAGGATTTCTATATGGGGAAAAAGTCTCCCCCTATGTAAGTGGTGTGTATACAGTGAGAAAGGAAAAAAAATAAAAAATTTACTTTTATTAATAAAATAACTTTGATAAATATAGAAAGCTCAAATAAAAATAAAAATTACTTAGCTTTTATTGAGTTAAAAATAACATGCATGGTCAGCTGAACAACAAATAAATTTCAGTAAAACAGAAATCTGCCAGAGTACTGACATCAACTGACCAAAGTATCTCGTTTTGATACAAATCTTTCCTTTTGTTAAGGTGCTGATGATCTTATAAGAAGTCTCATGGTAAAGGTCAAAATGTCTCACTACCATGATAACTCATGTGACAAAAATATTTCAGAAAGAGATGGTGATAGTGCAAATAAATTACTGAAATTTAAAGCTTCTTTTAAAAAACTATATTATATTAAAATTGTGTTTGGGGAAAGTAGGCTGAAAAATTACAAAAAGAAACTCTTTGCGCGCGCACACACACACACATCCCTTCCCTGATTCTTATTTACTTAAAATTTCACTTACAAAATGCATGTCTGAGAAAGAACTAGAAAAGATTCTAAGTTACTATATAGAAAGTAGATCAACAAGGACTAGTCCTTCAGTATTTAACACTTAGCATACGACTTCTTAAGTGTTATTAAAGCATTTTGCCACTACCCAAATGGTCAGCAGTTCAAATCCCCCAGTCACTTTTGGAAGCAAGCAGCCTACTTGTGTAAATAACTACAGCCTTGGAAACCCTACAGGCAGTTTTAGTCCATTCTAGGAGATTGCTTTGAGTCAGAATTAACTCAATGGCAATGAGGTTTTTGTTTCTTGCTTTTTTGTGGCTATAAAACTTCTACCAAATATAACCTATTAAGTTTCATGTCACTGAATACTGTTATTTAATAAGTTGATTTAAGTAAAATTATTTCAATATTATCTTTTGAAAAACAAACATCTTAGTATCATTTATTTCTCTTCAAAATGAAATGCTTAACTATTAATTTTTATGAGTTTATTTACTACTCTCTCATGTTTGAAAGATACTCACCTCTATGAGGCTGGAGTGTATTCCAATCAGGTATGGCATTGGGGCACTAAATTAAAAATATATATGTATATATTCATATAGATCATTGAAACTTAAGCAACATTATAATTATTTTAAAATGCTTAAAAATTATATTTATTAAATGGGCAGTTATAACATAGCATGTTGCAGATAGTAAAAAGTAATCAATAGATAAAACTCATGTTTAATTTTAGAGGTTGTCAACATTGTCATATTAAGGTTGGTTTATATACAAATTTAAAAATAACTGTTACACTAATTAACAGTCATAATGTCTAATTTTTTTTTATTTAAGAATACTTCTACTTGAGTCCTTAAACTCATAGCTCAATGCAAATGTATATTAAATAATCATCAAACATATTTACATATTTTTACATTTTCTTTAATTAAATGCTTATATCTGTTATTTTCCTCATGTATTTTCCTTCTTATTTAACTACTACCTGTTTGTTAGGCATGCAGCAGTCATCACTTATGTACCGAGTCTTACTGTATGGCAGGCATGTTCCAGAACTAGAGGTTCAAAGAGAAATAAGCTCTCCACTAGCATTACAGTCTATCTCTGTGATATCTTAATTCTTACATATCTTGTTTTATACATAAATTTTAATTACCCAATTTCCTTTTAATCAATAAAATAATTCCAGTAAACAGAAAAGCACACAAATAAATTGTAAAATGACTTTGAATTAATTTATTCAACTTATTACATTTGGATGAGGGACTATGGTTCAGTAATAGATACTGAATTCATCTGTCCATGTGGAGTTTCTACACTGTCACAGAATATGGAGAGTAAATAGTTCTTGTAGTTTAAAATCACAATTACCAAAATTTCAGAATTACTTTTTCATGAACCATGAGACAGAAAGTGTTATTATTTATGTTGACATTTCAAAATAAAAATATTACTTAACAAAAAAAGTTAAGAATGAGTACATGATACATAGGTAATATGTTGATGTTGTTGTTGTTATATGCCATTGAGTCACTTGTGACTCATGGCAACCCTATGTACAACAGACCTAAACTCTGCTCTATCCTGCGCCAACCTTATTGTCTCTCACACACCTACCCCCACCACTCCATTGAAAAATCCCATTGCCTAGTTTTCAAATGAACAGGGTAACTTAGGATATGAATTGCCTATTTAAAAATACAACACTTTTGACAAATATTTATAAGAATCTTTGTGCTCTATTGGTGTCAGAAACCTTGAAAATTGGTTTATCGATAATTAACAAAAAACAAAACCAGATGCTGCCCTAGATGTACTCACCAAGTTGTATTAAGATAAATGAAGGACAACTGCCTGGCCAACTGACTAGAAGAGATCTATATTTGTCCCCATTCCAAAGAACCCTATCATTGATATCAAATGCAAGCAAGAGTCTATGGAAGATTATCCAAAAATGACTGGAACAAACAGCACATCAACAAAGAATTGCCTGAAGTGCAGGCTGGGTTTAGAAGAGGTCATGGTACTAGGGATATTACAGCTAATGTTAGAGTATCTTGGATAAAAGCAGAGAAACCAGAGTAATGTCAACTTGTTTTTCATTGACTATGCAAAGGAATTTGATTGTGTGGATCACAACAAACTGTGGCTGACTCTGAGAAGAATGGGAACCCCAGAATACTTGATTGTGCGTATGCGAAGCCTATACTTTGAGGAGCAGGGGGGAGTTGTCAGAACAGAGCAAGGAAACACTGCATGGATCCAAATTGGGTAGGGTGTACACCAGGGATATGTCCTACTTCCATACCTTTTCAATCTATATGCAGAACAGCTTATTCAGGAGTGTTGGCTCTATGAGGAGAAATATGGCATCAGGACTGGAGGAAGACTCATCAACAATCTGTGTCATGCAGATTAACACACCCTGATTGCTGAAATGGAGGATGATCTGAAGCTCTTGCTATAGAAGGTCAAGGACCACAGCCTTTAATATAGATTGAAGCTCAACATCAAGTAAACAAAGATTCTCACCACTGGGCCAATTGGCAGCATCATGATAGATGGTGAAGAGATTGAGATTGTTAACAGCTTTAGTCTGG